GCTTCTGCTGTCAATGTGGTATGGGAGAAGGTATTTGAAATCTTTGCACTCAGGACTCTAGGAGCATGTAACTCAGTTCCAAAACAGACTAAAAAATGTTCTGGCCTTGTTTCCCAGGAAATGCCTCATGCTCCCTGCAGTCTTTCCAACAAGAATTGGTACAGGATAAGGTTGACTCATGGTGTGGCACCGTAGGATAAACACTGGACTGTGAACTACATGGTCTGAAGTTCAGGCCCACCAGCTGCTCCTTGGAAATTCTATACAGGATCGCTGTGAGTTGGTACTGACTTGATGGCACTCCACAACAACAACACAACAAAATTGACTTGTCATTGGAACAGAAAAGAAAGTTCAGAAATAGATCCAAAAACATATGGGAACTGAATGGATGATAAAAGAGACATCTCAAACTAATGCAACAAAGAAATACTTTTAAATAAAAATATAATGACCACAAAGAAGCTTTGGAGTCCTGGTGTGGTGCTGCGGGATAAAGTACTGGACCACAGGGTCTATTTGAACCACGAAGTTAGCATTTCAGAATCACCAGCCACTCCTTGGAAACCCTATACAGGGTTGCTATGAGTTGGAACCAAGTCAATGCCACTTAACAACCATAACAAGAAGTTTTGAAGGAGCTCTGGAAGTGTAGTGGATTATGAACTGGGCTGCTAACCACAAAGTCAGTAGTTCTAATCTACCCGTTGCTCTCTGGGAGAAAATTGAGGATTTCTGCTCCCATAAATATTTATAGCTTCAGAAACCCTACATAGGGTGTCTGTGAATCAGAACTGACTTGGTGGCAAACAACCACCACCAAGAAGCTTTTGAAAAAGCCCTACCTCATATTGTACACAAGAATAATTTCAAATAACTGAAAGATTAATTTAACAATTAAAGCTATCAAAGTTGTAGTGCGAGAACACGTGGGTGAATTTCTCTCTAACTTTGGATTTGAAAATCCTTTGGAAGAATTTTTTTTAGGCAATAACTTAATATTTGGAAGCAATAAAAGAAAAAAAATATATATTACTATGGGCCTTGGTAACCTTTCAGGTCTAGAACTGGACTCACCCTCATGGCTCAATTTTCAGCCACGCAGATAGGTATACAGAGAGACAGCAACACGAGTGAGGTATACATATCATAGAATGGCCAACCATTCAAGATCAAAAGGGCAGCATTTACCTAAGGACAGAATTTACAATTGGGAAAGAAGGAGGGAAACAAGAATCCCAGGGAGGAAGTGGAATAAGTGAGTGGATTGCAGCCATTGAAATAACCTGAAATGAATGATGTGCTGAATGATCCTCTAAACCTTCACTCAATTCACAATAAAAAGATTTTAAAAAAAAGAAAAATTAGCTAAATTTGGCTACATAAGCTAAAACATAAAAACACTGAAGAATAAAAATGAAAAAAACCAAACAAACCACAAACTCAAAGGCAATGTGAAAAAACAAATGACTTGTTTCACTTAGTATGGTGTTTTCAAGTTTCATATATGCTGTAGCCTGAAGAGGTGGGATATTATGGCTTTATACGGCACTTAACAACAACAACATAATAATAACAGAGTCTCTTCTCGATGAAGTTTTGCAAACAAATAATGATGCTTGCATAACAATTTGAGAATGATTAATACTACTGGATTGTATACTTTAAAATGACTGTAATTTCAACTTTTATGTTGTATGCATTTTACCACAGTAAAAAAGGACAAATGACAAGCTGGAAAAACTATTGGCAACTCAGATCGCAGAACATGAAATAATTTTTTAAATGTATAACATATTCATAGAAATTGAATGATAAAGATCAACCAACCAACAAAAAAATGAACAAATGTCAGTGACTAATAATTCTTAGCAACATAAATGCTCTCATTGTAGAGTACAAAGGTCAGTGACTAATAATTCCTAGCCACATAAATGCTTTCAATTACATAAAAGGTTATTAACATCATTCATGATAGCAAAATGAGACTCTAAACTACACCAAAAATTTTTCTCCACTGAGAATTATACAATATTTTAAAGTTTAAATTGCATATGAAACAATGAGGAAATTGGCACTCACGTTCAATGTGGATGTAAAAGCTAAATAGTACAGCTGCTGTGGAGGGAAACGCAACTAAACTGAACAAGATTACAAACATTTCTTCTTGACCATGTGAACCATCTTTTAGAGTCCATTCTGCAGATAACTCCTTCAAGGACAAGAAAGGACATCTGATATGCAGTATTATTCACTCTATCTTCATTTGTAATAACAAAAAGATTGTAAGCCATGGGTCATTCTGGAATAAACATGGTACATTCAAATAGTGCAATATTATACAGCCATACAAAATCATGGGAAGAACTTTATCTAATTATGTGAATAAATGGATAGAACTTTTTTTTAATTTGAAGTAATAATGTGCATAAGTATATATAATGTGTTGTCTTTTATATAGGAAAAAGGTCTGTACAGATATACCTTCTATATGTACATGCATATGTACGTATTTGATTATGGAAATAGCAAAAGGATAATGAAGAAATAAATATGGTTACCTATAAGGGAACAGCTGGTGTGGTGTGGTAGGATCAGCACTGGACTGTGAACCATAAGGTCAGCAGTTCAAATCCACCAGATGCTCCTTGTAAACCCTATACAGGGTCACTATGAGTCAAAACTGACTCTATAGCACTTAACAGCAACAACAACAACATATATGTATATAAAAGAGCTCTGGTAGGGTAGTTAGTGGTTATGAGTTGGGCTGCTTAGCAGTTTGTAACTAACAGCCATTCCGCTGGAAAAATATGAGGTTTTCTGCTCCCATAAAGATTTACAGCCTTGGAAACCCTGTACAGGGTCACTATGAGTCAGAATCGACTCCATGACATACAGCCACCACCATCATATATATGCAATATATATGGAGTCCTGATGTGGTGCTGTGGGTTAATGCACCAGACTGCAAAGCTGTTTGAACTGCAAGGTCAGTGGTTCAAGCTCACCAACTGCTCCTTGGAAACCCTATAGAGGGTCGCTATGGGTCAGAACCGACTTGATGGCACTTAACAACATATATGCAATAGAATATTGTTATTGTTGTTCAGTGCTTTCGAGTGCGTTCCAACTCATAGCGACCTAGTGTAGGGCTTCTGAGGAGCAGTTGCTGGCTATGAATCACCAACCTTACAGTTAGCAATGCACTGCTTTTTCCACTGAGAATATGGAGTATATGAAGAAGAACAGGGCATCAGGATTGCAGGAAGACTCATAAACAACCTGTAATATGCAGATGATACTGCTTTGTTTTGCTGAAAGCAAAAAGGACTTATAATACTGATGGAGATCAAAGACTACAACTTTCATTATGAGTTGCAATTCAATGTAAAGAAAATGAAAATATAACTGGACCAAAAACTAGCATCATGATAAATGGAGAAAAGATTGAAGTTGTCAAAAATTTCATTTTGCTTATATCCTCAATCAACACTCGTGCAAGCAGCAGCCAATAAATGAAATGATGTATTTCATTAGGCAAATCTGCTGCACAAGACCTGTTTAAAGAGTTGAAGAACATAGATGTCATTTTGAGGACTAAGGTGCACTTGACCAAGCCATGGTATTTCTAGTAGTCTCATATGCACGTGAAAGTTGGACAATGAATAACGAAGACCATCGAAGAATTCATGCATTCAAATCAAAGAATTGATGTTAGAACAAAATATTGAAAGTACCATTGACAGCCAGAAGAATAAACAAATCTGTGTTGGAAGAAGCACAGCCAGGATGCTCCTTAGAAGCCAGGATGGTGCGACTTTAACTCTTATACTTCAGACATATCATCAGGAGGGACCATCCCAGGAGAAGGATCTCATGCCTAGTAAAGTGGAGTGTCAGTGAAAAAGTAGAAAACCCTCAACCCTATTGATTGGCCCAGTGGCAGCAGCAGTGGACCCAAGCATAGCAACAATCACGAGGATGGTGCAGGACTAAGCAGTGTTCACTCTGATATTCACAAGGTTGTTATGAGTTGAAAGTGACTCAAGAGCACCTAATAATGGCAACATAAGGGGGAACCCAGGTGTGGCTATATAGGATAAACAGTGGACTGCTAACCACAAGGTCAGCAGTTCAAACCCACTACCAGCTGTTCTTGAAGACCCTATACAACATCATCACAGATGGGAAACTGACTCTGGTGGCACACAACAATAAAAATAAGGGGGGGAACAGCACGGGAGATTGTGGGGGGAACTGAGAATGTGTATCGAGTCTTACAGAGTTTTGAATCTTAAGTCATGTAAGGACTTTTCAAAGTCCAAAGGACATTTTCAAAATTTATTTAAAATGCTCTAAATGGAGTTGCTATGATCATGAGCACAAACCATTAGTCTAAGAGGTTCAGGTAAATCCTCTGATACACCAGAAAAGAACAAATCAAAATTTCTGTTTTTCTTATTTCTGTTGCAGCAGCCAATTAGAAATCCTTTAGCTTCGCTGACGGTGTATCTAAATGAATGTTGTTTATTAAGTTGTTTTATTTTAAACAAATAAGACAAATGATTAGAAAGAGGAACCCAAAGAATTGCCCATTAACATCTATCTCTAAAAACTGCATAATTAAAAGAAGACTATTTGTAACATCATCAAATTCATTGGAATGAGATTGCCTTAAATCTAATACTTCCAAATTCCAGTCTTAGTCACTTGTGCAGATTTAAGCAAAGCCTATCAACAAAATTCTAGAAAAATTGTTGAATGTTTTCCCTTTAATAGCTGATTGGAATGATAAAACTCATCTCATTTGATGACTTTTTCCACTTTATCTACTATCTTGATAACTTTGAGTAACTTTTCATGGTTTCTTGTCAGGCTGTCATTGTTGATATATTTTTTCTTAAGATTAGGACAATATAAAAAAGACATGCAATAGTAATAAAGAACATACAGTAATAATGAATGATTACATGTTATATGTTATTTTTACTTTATAGATACTGAGTTGCCACCACTGAAACTTATCAATTCATTTTGTGCACTGAAAGCAGATGATGGCCCATGCAAAGCAATGATGAAGAGATTTTTTTTCAATGTTCACACTCAACAATGTCAAGAATTTTTATATGGGGGATGTGAAGGAAATCAGAATCGATTTGATAGTTTGGAAGAGTGCAAAGAAAAATGTACAAGAGGTAAAAATTTTTTGGGACACCTATTACTTAAGAATCAGAATTATTAGGTCTAATTATATATTTGGTCATATTTTTAAAAAGTAATTTAATACTTTTTTAACTTTCCAAGAAATCCCATTGCTCAGATGCTCAGCTTTCATGTTCAGTGATTGATTTTCATTTTTCTCATAGTTGTCCTTATAAAGTCTATTTATCCTCTCCATAGTAAAGAAGGAAGTTGAACTCTAAAGTGCTCAAAACAAGTTTTATATATACCTGCAACATAATTCAGCCTCACTAGTCAGTTAGATATTGGCAAGAAAGAAATTGTTAGTCACAGTGCCTTTCTGAACACAAAGAGCTCTTATCAGTTGACTGTAAATATGATGAATTTGAAAATTTGTTTTGAAGTTTCCAATAGATACTAATTGCAAAACTCAAAGCTGTATCAAACAGAATAAATGTATATATGGAATTTAACTCATTCTTGGAAACTTAAAATACTGTAGAAAAGAAAATATGTTTTCTGGTAGCACATGGAGATTTGACTAATTCAACTCTTTTTTTCATATTAATGTTATTAAGTTATAAAAATGAAAAGTTTATCATAATATACCAAATGATTAAACCTACAGGTCAATGCGCTGGACTGCACGGTCAGTTTTAACTGCAAGGTCAGCAGTTTAAGCTCACCAGTTGCACCTATACAGGGTCACTATGAGTCAGAATCAATTTGATGGCACTTGACAACAACAACATCAGCATATAAGTGTGTGTGCACACTTGTTTAATTTTAAATTTTCATTAATTTTTTTATTTCAGTTTTTTCCTCGTAATTGTAATCCACTTGAAAGATAGAAGGGGAAGAATCAGAATTATCCTTATTTCCTCCATTTATAGCCCAATATTATCCCCATAGAATGTTCTCTGAACTGGTTGAAGGGAACTGAAGTGTGATGAAGATGACATCATTTGTTAGCAACACTAGGTGTCTTGTTTTTTTGCAAAGCCAGCAGCAATGCATTCTCACTCGAGTCATGCTTTCCAAAGGAGCTTTTACAGAACAGCTTTGGCAGTCATGATGCTCTTGGCCTGTGGGAAAATCTCAATGTGGTGAAAAGAGGAAACTTTTCTCCTCTGTGGCTTTGTGAGATGTTTTGTTGTTTGTTCCAGAGTTGACAGAAGAGAATTGATGTGAATATATTTCTTTATCCTCACAGCATTTATTTCCTCCTTTACTCACCACAGATTTTTAAAAAATATTACTAATACTGATTAGACAACTCAGTGATCTTTAGTTTTTTAAATTTCCCTCATCATTTTTCATTCATAAAAGAGTTCTCTACTCCATTCTCTTCTCTTGGACCAAGTATTCATTTGTGTTGAATAGAAAATGACTATTAGTCTCAGAACCTTGGCTAGAGGCCTGGTTGACTCATTCATTGCAAGTGCTCAATTTTCATCTATCGGCTAGTCTCTTCCCTAAAATATCTATCCTTTTATTATTTTTTAAATTAATATTTCTTTTATTTTTACCACTGTTGAAAAGTTACATTTTTCCTTAGAAGTTAAACAAATAAACCATTCAGTTTAGAAATAACTATTCTTTTTCTAGTAGTTTATAAAATAATATTACTGGCTAACATATAAAAGTTAAATCTCTTGCCCTCATCTTCCCATAAATATTTCAAAAGCCATTTATATTTTTATGTGAATGTCTGAGTTTTATATAGCAGAATATTGCTAAGGATATAGCTAGCAGTTAGAAAAAAATGTCATCAGGTATTTTAAAAATACCTAATGAAATAATTCCATCTTTAGCCATTAATCAGTATTTGGAACAAGATTTACTCTCACAAAATAAATAACCATAAACTAATATTGTTGTTGTTGTTAAGTGCCATCGAGCAGATTCTGACCCATAGAGATGCTGCATAGGGTTTCTGAGGAGCAGCTGGTAAGCTTGAACTGCCGACCTTGAAGACAAACCTAATGTAGAATATGATAAAAATTATTTGTAATTATTAATCAAAAGGGGTAGCTCAGGACTCTGATTTCTAAGAGAATGGACTCTCGAAGTAAGCTATCCATTTGTCCCTGCTTTCTGTGTGGAGACAATTCTGGACCATAGTGAAGGGAAGGGAATCCAAGTACAGAATGATAGTCTCATTGAGTAGAGAAAAAAGAAACTGGATATTAGGGATGCTGAGGTGACTAGGGTTTGTAGGAAAAATGTGACATTTATATATATACATTTCTTCTTTGCTCTTAGAAATTAAAGTCATAATATATCAGCTATGCATAAAAAATCTGAATGTAGAATAACAAGACACTATCCACTAATAATAACCTTTTAAAAGTTAGTTTGCCACACCATAAAAATTTATTTTAAAGTATTAAGATATATATCAAATACAATTAGAATAATTAGTATCACATTTTCAGTATTTCAAACTGTGGAAAAAGCATTACATAAGACATAGCAAAACTTAAGGAACAATTGCTCTCATTGCCTTCCCCTTCATAGAGGTTTTATATACAAAGGACAAACATATTGCTTAAAGAAGAAAGGATGACCCATTGGCTGAAAGGTCCATGAATCAACTGATTTACTCAAAGCTTTTCTTTGTAAAACAAATAATATGTACAAAACAATTATCACTTCAAACTTTCTAATATTTATTTGCTCAAATAAAAAATTCACATTTTATTTTTTTCTTTGAATGTTATTATCCATCACTTATTATAGAATTTAGAACCCGTATTTTAAATATTATACGGCAAGGATGAGTAGAATTCTATTTCTTAAGAGTGTATTTTCATGAACCCAAATACTATTTCCCAGATGTTTCTTGAATCATTTTTGTTCTGCATCTGAGAATAGTGAAATTTCTATTTAGTTTGAGACAATAGAGCAGAGGAAGAATAAAACTTGCAATTGAGTTGAGACAAGACAGGAAAAGAATTTTGGGGAAATGGGATAATTCTTGGTTCTTCCACTCCTATTCACAATTTTGATTGTGAATGATTTGGTTTTACATTTCAAGTAGTTTGTTTGAACTGCTTTCAAATTTTACTTTATTCTCATCAATAATCATTAAAATTATAGATGTCGTGGAGAGAAAACATATTGTTGTTATTGTACGTTCTGTTTAATAGGTTTCAACTTATAGCAACCCTGTTCAGGGTTTCTAAGGAGCAGCTCGTGGGTTTGAACTGCTGACCTTATAGTTCACAGTCCAGTGCTGATCCTACAGTGCCACACCAGGAGTCCAGAAAACTTATTTGTTGCCAATAATTGTTATATTTTAAAATGTGTTACACATTTTTAACAAATTTGTGAGACTTTAAGTTAAAATGTAGTCTAAAAGATGCAAAAACTAAAAAAGTAATCTCTAAATAAAAGAAAAAAGTTTAATTTTACTTAGCACATTTTAATGATAATGACTAAATCTGCCTAGCTTCTGTGTATGTTAATTAATATCTATATTGTTTTATAAATAGTAATTATTATGCATATTTTATTTTATTGGTAGATTATCAGAAGATTATAAAGACAGCTTTGCATAAAGGTAAATACTTGTGTATTAATTAATAATATTTATATAAATATCTAGAAATTCAATTTGTAGGCTTCTCTGATTCAGGGTTGATCAAAAATCCTTGTGATAGCTTACTAAATTGCAACAAATTAAGTGAATTGTATCAGCCCCTCAGTAGATACAATGGAAAATTAGAAACAAAATAGTGTTATTTGGGGAGGAAGGCAAGGCCAAAATGCCCTGTTGTTGTTGCTAAGTGTTGTAGAGTCAGTTCCAACTCATAGCAACCCGCTAGGCTTTCCAAGGAGTGGTTGGTGGATTTGAACTACTGGCCTGGCAGTTAGCATTCAGTGCTTGTCTTACAGTGTCACATTAACTGTCATTTTAATATAGCATGATATCTATGATCATTCCATTCAAAATGCAGAACCCCAAAGTTCTGTTTTAGCATCTCATAATAATAATTCAGTTTATGCTTGTTAAGTGCCATTGAGTCGGTTCCGACTCATAATGACCCTCTATAAGATTCCCAAGGCTGTCAATCTTTGTGGGAACAGAAAGCCTTATCTTTCTCCCACAAAGTGGCTGGTGGGTTCTAACTGCCAACCTTGTGATTCGCAGTTCAGTGCTTACGGTACATAGATACTACACTCCTAAGACTTTGCTAGTCTTGCTTTAATTATCAAATGTTTAATCACTTAAAAATCTCAGTGGTTTGTGGCTTTAGCAAAGTTCACTTAATTTTTTCCTGAATGTAGGATGCGTGTCTTTGAGTTGTCAAAGTAACTGAAGATATTTCACAACAAATACGCACTTTTATAAAAACATTATTTAGTGAGTATGTGTTTATGTGCATTTTCATTTTGTGATTTTAATTGTTTTATTAGGTTTATAAATAAATATAATAATTTTAGATATATTTCTACCAGCATAAGAGAATTGTTACCAACAGATTAAGAAAGTTATGCTTTTTTTAAAAAAAAAAAAAAAGGTCTAGAAACTAGTTTGGTCATGAGAACATTTTGAACAAAGATCAAATTATTTATTCAGATTATCAAAGGACTAGCCAATTCAAAGTACATTTGTATTTTTATTATGTGAGAAAAGTTGAAAATTTATGTGATTCACAAATAAACTTCATATTTATATCATCAACCAGAAATTGAAGCAAAATTTCTGAAATCCAACAGCAACATTTGAATAAATAATATAAGTGAATGTATCTATTTATTTGCAATATTTTTAAATAGCGTGCTGCAAATGTTACACATAAAGTGTTCTGTACTTTAATAATATGGGATCTTCAAAAACCTATAATGTAAAAAAAAACTATTTAAGAATAGCTTTTTGTTGCTTTATTTTCTTTTTTAGTTCACCAGAAGTTAATACTACATGAAAATAAATAGCAATATTTAACTATTATGGGCTTTTTAATAAACATAAAATACACACACATATATATGTAACATTTTTTGAAAACATATATGTTTAAATATTTTAATTCCAATCACTATGAGTTTATTTTATTTGTGAAAGTTAGAGAATGAGCTTTGAATGCCATTTCCATGAGGGACATAAAATGCTTAAATGCTACAACTAATCAATTAAAGTTGATTTTGAGATATATTCACTAGCATTGGAAAGACAGTGGAAATTCATTGCAATCCTTGTTTCAGTCAAACATTGAAATAAATTTTTTTTCTAAAACAACCCTCCCTAAGTATGCAACCTGTTTTAAGAGTGAAAATCCTATGGTATACGAAGCTGGTATATAGCTTTGAGTCTCCATTTTGATTTATTCAATTTTAACTAAGCACCAATTTACAGCAAGAATGTGGCATGCATATTAAATAATCTAAGAAATATGGAGTATTATTATTTTTGTTTTTAACTTTGCAAATAGTCTTAATAGTTAGCTTAAGCCTAATTATTTTACATATCAACATTTGTAACTTTGTTCTGAAATAAATGTATACCCTAAGATGAGGATACACAGAAAACTAACATACATATACTCTCTCTCCCACACACATACTTACACATACAAGCATAATCTAATAATTTCCAAAATTATGCATAATTTACATTACAATTTTTTATACTCAATAAATTTTGCTTTTGTTAAACATATAATACTCATACCCTCCACTAAGATGATTTAAAATTTCATAAGCAGTTTACACTAAGAAAAAACAAGTAAAAATGATAGTAATTGAATAAATGTTTTTTTCACTTAAAAATGGTATTATAAAAACTTTTTTTCACATAAATTACACTTAATTGCAAATAGTTATTATGAGAATGATAGCAACACTCACTTCTAAAATCAAGCAGCAATGAACAATAGATAAAATAACTTTCACATTGAAGCTTTGAGAAATTATAGACAGTAGATTTGTTTAACTACACTAAAGCAAAAAGGTTTATTTAATCAAACAATCATTTTATACTCTGCTATTGGTCCTTTTTCAGATCTGCTGCTGTTGTAAAAATCATTGGGTATATTTAACTATTTTTTTTATATCGATTATCTACTCCTTTTATAGTAAAACTACTCTTTTTATAGTAAAAACACTCCTTGGTCTTCCTTCCCTGAGTTTTTGTTGTTGTTAGGTGCCATTGAGTTGGTACTGACTCACAGTGACCCTACACACAACAGAACAAAACACTGTCAGGTCCTGTGCCAACCTCACAATTGTTAGTACGCCTCAGCCCATGGCCACTGTGCCATTCCATCTTGTTGAGGATCTTCCTCTTTTTCTCCAATCTTCTACTCTATGAAATACAGTATTCTTCTCCAGGGAATGGTCCCTCCTGATAATATGTCCAAAGTATATGTATGTCTGTCCTGAATTCCAAGAAATACTCTGGCTGTACTTCTTCCAACACAGATCTGTTTGTTCTTTTGGCAGTCCAGGGTACTTTTAATAGTCTCTTCCAACGCCATACAGAAGAGCAAATAATTGGTTTGAGATGTAAAAGGCTGCTACAATTTACTTTGGGTTCTGTGGTAGTATAGTTACAGAAAAAGGAAAAAGGTGATATTTCATGGCCCTAAAAAGTTCAAGCCAAATATGCCTGTTTTCTTAATAATTTTGAAAATTAGCTCAGTTCTTTCCATCACAGAATATACAGGTAGATGGAGTTTATATGTAGATCACAGTGCTACAACTTTTGCAATAGCTGGTTTTAGCCTGTTTTGGAACACTATCAAAGAAAGAGCATTTGACCTTTTCAAAAGTCTCTCCAGTCACTGAACATGTATTTCCTCTTGGCCTTTTCAGTTTTGGAGTCATTCCAATGTCTGGCGCAAGAGAAAGAGAGAGAGAAAGAAAAAGCAAGAGTGGAGTATGACATACCTAACACGCAAATACTAATTCTGGCACTTAGAAGGATTCAAGAACTTCTAAGAATAGCATGGAAGCTTCAGTTCTTGTGAAAACTTATTTTCCAATTGTTATTTATATTTAAACCTTCATTAGTGAAGCAACACTCTGCATATCTTTCCCTAATAAAAGTCCAAAACTCAAAAACTATGAAATACTGATAGACCTAGTAAAGCTGAATTAAAACAAAACTTTGCTGAAATAGTTTCTATTTCCATGCCAAGAGAGGTACGTGGTAAAATGAAACAATATCTTTGATTTTCTCAATAAATAAAAAGAACTGATAGTCAGTGGGTTATTAATTTACTGTGAAAATGTTTCCGCTCGACATTCCAATCACAAAAATAGATATAATATTAGTTGTTGTTGTTGTTGTTGTTAAGTGCCGTCGAGTCGGTTCTGACCCATAGCGACCCTGTACAGTATTTCCTTATTCTAAATGTCACAATACATGTAGTTGTTGTTGTTAAGTGCTGGAATTGATTCTTAATCACAGCAACATGTATGGTGTTTATGAGGAGTGGCTGGTGGGCTTAAACTGCTTATCTTGAGGTTCGCATGTCCTACAGTGCATGGCCTACATCACCACACCAGGTAATTTCAATATTGTAGAATTCTGAATAAAATGATATTTTTACATCTTAACATTTTGCTCCATAAACATCTTCACTTTAGCCTGTTGTATATAAATTTAGTTAAAATAACAAAGATTTACAAAAATAATATTTATTTCTAACATTTTTATAATATCTAGAGAAGCCAGAATTCTGCTTTTTGGAAGAAGATGCTGGAATCTGCCGAGGTTATATTACTAGGTATTTCTATAACAATCAGTCAAAGCAGTGTGAACGTTTCAAGTATGGTGGGTGCCTAGGCAATTTAAACAACTTTAAATCATTGGAAGAATGTAAGAACACCTGTGAGGATGCATGTAAGTTTATTTTTCATCTCATTTTACTTCAGTTTAGATATTGTTTTAAAAATAAAATGGGAGAATGGTAAAGTGTACTGAGATTTTGTTTCAACCATGCAAAGGTACATCTGTATTTAGTAGATATGAAATAAATTAACCTCTATATTAAAGCCTAATAGAGCATAGAAAATAAAATAAATTGAATTATAATAAAAATGTTTTCATAATTTTTCCCCTTTAGACTGATTTTTTTCCTAAAAATTGTTGCTGTTGTTAAGAGCCATCAAGTCGGTTTCAACTCATAGTAACGCTGGATAGGGTTTCCAAAGAGTTACCTTGTGGTTTGTAGTCAAGTGCTTACCCTACAGTGCCACTCCAGGACTCCATTTCTAAGAATATTATTGTATAATTCAGGCAGAAGCATGGAGCCAATGTTATCCCTTAGGCTATAACAACATGAAATCAAATAGTTAACTCAAAATCTGTCTCCTAAATGAAACCAATCAGCTTTATCTGCACACAAAACTTACTAAAACCAAAACCCATTCGCATGCAGTCAGTCTCAACTTGTCCTGACACTATAGGACAAAATAGAACTGTCTCATAGGGTTTCCAGTGTTGTAAAGCTTTTTGTAAGCAGAGTACCACATCTTTCTCCCATGGAGTGGCTGGTGAGTTCAAACTGCTAAACTCTGGGTTAGCAGCTGGATGTATAACCACCACAACACCAGGGCTCCTTTATATGTATACATACATACATATATGTTTATAGATATAAACTACAAAACCAAATCCACTGCCAGTGAGTAGATTCAGATTCACAGTGACCCTCTGACCCTATAGAACACAGTAAAACTGTTCCATAGTGTTTCTGAGGTTGGGAGGAGACAGACTCATCTTTCTTTAGAACAGCTGATGGCTTTGAACTGCCAAGATTGTGGTTAGCAACTTAAATGCTTAACCCACTAACCCATACATACATAATGCATACATACAAGGGTAAGTCAAAAAGTGTTGCTACAATGATTCCAGTTCATACATGCATGTATTTATTCTAAACAAAGTATTGTCAGTGAATGACTGCAGACAACTTCATACATTTGTCTTAGTCTCCTGGTTGCCTTATAAAAAAGGAGCTCTGGTAGCATAGTGGTTACAGATCAGGCTGCGAACCGCAAGGTCAGCAGTTCAAAACTACCAGCTGTTCCACGGGAGAAAGATGAGGCTTTCTGCTTCTGTAAAGATTTACAGCCTCGGAAATCCAGTACAGGGTCGCTATGAATCGGAACCGACTCCATGGCACATAATCACCACGAACAATCAAACTAGTGGTTTCCAAGAGGATCTTCTAGGCCAATTAAATTCAAGATAGAGAGGTCAGCTCAGAAGGTTAAGGCAACTGTTTTTAGGATTCCAAAGGGCTAACTAAGCTTGATAGATTTTTTCAAATGCCACTGGGTGATCATGGTGCCCTATTATGAAAAAGATTTAAGAAAATTGAAAACTGCATTGATAAGAAAACAAACAAAAAAAAAATAAAAGAGGAAAATTGCACCAAGGATTTTTTTCCCCCATTCTGACAGCTTGCCTGCTCATTATGTAGCAGGGTAACCCTATGAGAATTCTGATGGAAGCCTTATTACATTCATGCTTTAGTCCTATACTTGTTCCTTCAGACTTCTATTTGTTCCATTTACTCAAAGAACATGGAAAAAGAACACAATTTGAGTCCTGGAGGCTGCCACAAAATTCATTTTTGATGTGGTATATAAATCGAGAAGCACAGAATTCTTTGGGGTAAGGGTTGTTGTTGTTAAGTGTCATGGAGTAGTTTCCAACTCATAGCGCGGAAGCAGCAGTCAAGAGATCAGATGACTTATTGTACTGGGCAAATCTGCTGCACAGAAACTTTTTTAAAGTATTGAAGAGCAGAGATGTCAGCTTGAGGACTAAGGTGCGCCTGACCCAAGCCATGGGATTTTCAATAGCCTCATATGGATGTGAAAGCTGGATAGTGAATAAGAAAGATTGTAGAAGAATTGATGCCTTTGAGTTGTTGTGTTGGAGGAGAATACTGAAAGTGCCATGG